GGGGGGGGGGGGGGGAGTAAGCAGCAAAGCCAGAGAGAGGAGAGGCTAGGCTGTAAGTCCCCCCACCCCCAAACGTACACACTGCTGTAGAAACAGGGACCTGACAAATGGGAGCAGAGTGGGGGCAGCTGCTAAGAAATGCAAGTTGGCAGAGTTGAAATTGGGGAAGGAAGCCAAGCCACATGGTAAGTTTATTTAAGACCCTTTCAAGCCCCCAGCTCTGAGCCCCACCATGAGGAGAGTCCTTAGTGTTGCCTAACCCCTTCCCTCTTATCTCTGCCTGGCTTCTCTCAGCTTCCTTCCTTTAGTCTGCTGGGGGGAGGGGGAGGTGCCTTGGCCAGCCCACAACCAGTCATGGAGCTCAACTGGGTTGAGTACTGGGGGAAGCACCAGCCAGGGACTCAAGGGATGGTGCTAGACTGCACCTCTACCCTCTCCTATTTGAGATATCTCACTATAGCTATTTCCAAAGTTCTAGGCTCTTCTGAAATCTTGGTCAAAGATGGCCTAAATTTTGAATTAAGACTTTGTAGGGGAGGAGAGGAAAGAAGACAGAAGAAATTGTGTGGGGTGGGTATTTGGGCAGAGGGTGCTTTCAGGATCACAAAACTAAGCAGTGCCATTCAATGTCAGCTGCATCCCTTGTTGTCCAGTTTATAGATCTGGGAAACTAAGGCCCAGACACAACCTCCCATGGGCTGTATGGAGACCTGAGAATCTTGGTGGTGGCCTCCTGCTGCAGAAATAGGACTTATGTCATCACAAGGAAGTGGAATGTAGTAACCACAGGCCCCGGAAACTGCCCCCCTCTACCACCCAGCCAGCCTGCTTGATTGGATCTTAGGTTTTGAAAACAGAGCAGAGGGAGGATGGGCCAGGGAACCAACTGAGGTGACGCAGGCCTGACACCAGTACTCTTACAGCTCTGAGGGCCAAGGGCAGCCAGTGTTACTGTCTGTTGAATGGGTCATGTGGCCCCTTCCATCTTTGTCTTTCTGGACCTCATTTTATCCATTGGAGAATAGGAACACTTAGCTGGTCTTGATTTGCTCCTTTGTGCAGAGCAGTCGTTTGGATGAAGTGGGAGGCTTGCTCCTCTTGTGGGGACTGCAATACAAGATAGACTCCTGGGGCATAGAGGATGAATAAAATGTTTAAATAATAATCCCTAAATTAAGTGTACCTAAAGGATGTTTCTCTAGTTTGAGTGATAATTTGGTAAAACAAATTCATCTGCAGTCCACTTACTAGTTTTTTAACAGAAGCACGCTGTTATGGAAGAGACTGAACTAGGCCATGACTAAACCCATGATTTGGTGGGTTTTGTTCATTGTTTTGGATTTGTTGTTGTTGTTTTGAGATAGGGTTGTAGCCCTGGTTGGCCTGGAACTTGCTGTGTAGACCAGGCTGGCCTGGAACTCAAAAAAGATCCACCTGTCTCTGCCTCCTAAGTGCTGGGATCAGAGTTGTGTACCACTATGCCCAGCACACCATGATTTCTTTCTCAGTGCTAGAAACCATGCCTGTTATCCCGCTAAACTCACCAAATAATTGATGCTACTCCAATGCACATACACATGGGAGCAGGCATGGGGAACTCTGGGCACTTTCCTTTGCAAGTGCATGCTTAGCAAACAGCCTAATCTGCCTAATCCACTTTTCAGTCCTTCTGCTAATTGACTGAGTGCTATGGTCTCTGTGCTTCAGTTTCTTCAGATGCTTTATTGACCTGTTCTGCTGCAGTGAAGGGGAATATGGGAAATACATACAGTGCTGTGCAGATGTGTGGCACCGGTGAAACTCCAAATTGTCCTTCACAGTTGCTGGGCATAGCTGCCTGTCACCACTGTTGATCCAGCTCCCAGATCCCTGCTGTTCCCTTTTGTGTTTGAGGAGCTTCTCACTCTCCCATTCTTAGGTCCCTAAAGCTGCCTCCTGCCTGAGCTCCACCTTGCCATTCTTGAGGCAAGGCTGTCCTGGGGTAGCCACCCCAGTCAAAGGCAGAGCTCCAGGTATCCCAGGCTCCCTCTCATTTTACCCTCTGTACAGCAGTGCCTTGAGAGTATTGAGGAAAGCAATCTCCTGCCCTTCCCCCTTGGAACAGCTGGCGCTAACCCTGCCCCCCAGCTACCTCAGCTGGGAAGATCCTCCCCTCCATCCCTGAGAGGGAGAAAGGGGAGCTCTGAGCAAGGGCC